GGTGATCCTACTATTACTGATCCTGATATGAACACCTTTCAATGCTATAACAACAATATTTGCCATAAAGTGCGTGAAGAATTTCAATTCACCAATTTCAATGAAGACCAAATTTTGGAAATCATAAAAACAACTAAATCTAAGGCTTACGGAAGTGATAATTTAAATATCGATATCATATTAATTTGTTGTCCGTTTATTTTAAAGTATATTTCACATATATTTAACGAATGTATAAACGTTGGTTACTTTCCCACTGCTTGGAAGCATGCATATGTCATTCCTCTACCTAAAGTCTCCCAACCGCTACAATTAAATCAACTAAGAAGTATAAGCATTCTCCCGGTCCTTTCCAAAATTTTTGAAAAACTCTTAGATAAACAACTAAATTTGCATATAAAGAAATTCGATATTCTTCCCAAAACCCAATCAGGATTTAGAAGTGGATATGGGTGTTCAACCGCTTTAGCCGATGTTACCGATGACATATTGCGCTCACTTGATGCAAATAAAGTATGCACATTAGTACTAATTGATTATTCACGTGCATTTGACACATTGAACCACAAACTTCTATTAGCAATTTTGCATTTTATTCGTCTCAGCCATTTGTCGATCAAAATTATAACTTCGTATCTAACAAACCGCGTTCAACAGGTGGTTCTTAACAACACTTTCTCTAATTGTTTGTTAGTCAGAAAAGGTGTTCCTCAGGGCAGCATTCTTGGCCCATTACTGTACACCTTATATACATCCTTCCTACATTCACATCTAAATCATTGTAAGAGCCATTTATATGCTGATGATACACAAATTTATTATTCTTTTGAACTGTCTAAAATTGAAGAGTCGGTCAGGCGTATTAATGACGATCTCTCTATTCTTGTAAGTGCATCTGAAAAACACTCATTGCATATCAACTCAACAAAATGTTATGTTATTGTATTTTGCAGTGAAAATAACCGACAGCTGATCTTGCCACAAATACAAATCACCTTAGGGAATGAAATTTTAAAAATTAGTTCCTCGTGTAAAAATCTTGGTTTGACTATTGACTCGCAATTAAGGTTTGATAAACATATTAACGAGAAGGTTAGGAAAGCCTACTCTTCCCTAAAACTAATTTATCCACATAGAACAGATTTGTCTACTGCAACTAAACAAATGCTTACTGATTCTCTTGTTTTATCGCACTTTAATCATTGCGACACGGTATATGGTTCTTTTTTACGATTAATTGATAAGAATCGAATTCAGAAAGTACAAAATAGTTGTTTAAGGATGATCTATGGCATAAGGAGAAGGGAGAGGATTTCTTATAAATTAAAAGAGGCGAATTGGCTGAACATGTTTAATCGTCGGAAACTTCATTCTCTCTGTTTATTTTATAAAATAGTTAAGACCAAAATTCCCTCATACTTACATCAAAAGATAAGTTTTCGGACCGACGTCCATCATATTAATTTAAGAAAAAATAATGCCATTACCATTCCATCTCATAATAAACAAATATTCAAAAAATCATTTAGCTACCAAATTGCATTGAACAGTCATCTTCTTGATATACCAAATTTCAGTCTTTCATTAACAGCTTTTAAAAATAAATACAAACAAATTTTTTTACACGAACAGACATTTTAAATTTTAAGTCTTTTTTTGTGATTTTTAATATTTATTAATATAGATTAAGGTTCCTTTCACTAGTTAATTATTCTTTTAACTGTATTTTTAAATTATTCTAGATATGTATATGTATTTTTACTCTTTATTTTACTTATTTATTTTTTTCAAGGCGAGTGAGGTAGAATTGGTCTTATGACCTATCACTCGACCTTTTATTTGCCTAATTAGTATATTTAGTGTATTTTTGTTTTTTTTATATTTTGTATTTTTGTACATCCTTTATTGGCAAATAATAAACTATTATTATTATTATTATTATTATTATTATTATTGTACGACGCCACCCGAATTGCTCCGATTTCCATTCAGCGATCACACCTCCACCTGAGTTTAATCACCATTGACAGCTGTTTTTTGATTTATTTGTTGGTATTTTAGCAATTTAAAGTATGTACTTATAATACAAGTACTACTGTTATGAATATATTCGTTTTCAGCGGTAAATATTTATTAACGTTTTGACATAAAGCGCCATGATTCTCTGGGCTGAATACTTCAGATTCGCATTAAGGGGTTTCAATAAATATTAAGCATCACAAACTCAGATTTCATATTACTTACATAAATTTACAAAAGGGTAAAATTTTGAACATTTAATTTAAATAAATAGTAAATAGACATTATTGCTAATTAAATTTTGTATTTAAAAAGTAGTTTTATAAGAATGTTTTCTAAAGGTAGTTTTTAGCCCTTTTTGGTAGATAAATAAAAGGTAAAGAATCATAGTTGCTAGCTAAATTTTATTTTTATAAGGTATTTTTATAAGAATATTAGATGAAATACAGGATGACCTACTTAAAATTTCAAGGTTCGTCTTATTTGCGGTCAAATCGAAAGTGACATTGAATTTTCAGTCTTAAAACAAAGTAATCTAGTATAAGCAAAAAAAAATACTAAAGTTATAGGAGTTAGGTCCGATTCCACCGTTGTGTTAAACGGAGATTAAAATGACAGTGTTAATGTAGAAATGTCATTTTAAACTTCGTTTAACACAACGGTGGAATCGACCCTTAGTCACGTTAATAAAATGTTACATTACAAACCCCTAAACAACTCGAACATAATTTTCGTTTACTAAAAAAAATCCAAAATTTAGCAATATTTATTTATTATACAAGCGAATGCGATTTCAAAGATAACTGGATCAAAAAATCCGAATCTCTAAATTTTGGAGCTAAATGCTCAGATAAAAGCAAGCGACCGATAGGGGTTACAAAAATAATCGATTTATCGATAATTCTGATATTTTTTAATGAAAATCGATTTATCCGCTGTTTTTAATAAATTATTTTCGTTTTTTTTTTAAGATAATGTATTAATCGATTTTAAAGGAAATACAAAAAAAGTAGATTTATTCAAAATAATCGATTTATCGTTTAATCGGTTTTTTAATTATTTGATTATTTTCGATTTTTCAAAGATATTATATGAAAATAATCGATTGAATATAATCGGTTATTTTACATAATCGATATTTTGGTTTTTTTTTAAAATTATCGATTTATTGGATAATCAGCTTTTTAATAATCAATTATTTTCGATAATCAAATAATCAATTTCAAAGGAAATATGAAAAAAGGATTATTAGAAAATAATAGATAATTCGTTTTATTTTTTGGAAAATCGATTTATCATAGAATCGGCTTCTTAATTATTTTCGATTAGGCGATTATTTTGGAATTATTGATTATTTTTGATATTTCAAAGATAATCGAATTATCGATTTTAAAGGAAATACAATAAAAATAGATTATTGATAATAATCGATTGATCGAAAATAATCGATTATTTAAAATAATCGATCATTCTGTTTTTTTTTTAAAATCGATTTGTCAGTTAATCGACTTTTTAATTAATCGAATATTTTTGAAATACAATAAAATAGATTATTGGTAATAATCGATATATCATAGAATCGGCTTCTTAATTAATTGATTATTTTCGATTAGGCGATTATTTTGGAATTATCGATTATTTTCGGTATTTCAAAGATAATCGAATTAACGATTTTAAAGGAAATACAATAAAAATAGATTATTGATAATAATCGATTGATCGAAAATAATTAATTATTTAAAATAATCGATCATTCTGTTTTTTTTTTAAATCGATTTATCAGTTGACTTTTTAATTAATTGATTATTTTTGATTAAACGATTATTTTCGATTTTTCAAAGATTATCGAATAATCTGTTTCCATGGACGAAAAAAAAATGGTTTATTTGAAAATAATCGATTATTTAAAATAAACGATAATTCTATTTATATTATATTTTGTAAACACTGATTTATCGGTTAATTGGCTTTTTAATTAATCGATTATTTTTGATTTTTCAAAGATAATCAAGTAGTCGATTTTAAAGGAAATGACAAAAAATATATCGTTTGAAAATAATCTATTGATCGAAAATAATCGATTATTTTCAATTATCGATAATTTATTTCGATAATCACTCATCCCTAGCGACCAAATGACTTTTAATAGATTTAAATTTTAAAATGTTATCTGGTTTCAGACATATGCATTTCTAGAGTTTTATGTGACTCATCCTTTATAATAATTAATATTCTTAAAGAAAGAAGCCTTAATATACTTTTTCTGAGGTTACAATACAAAACAGCATTTTCTCATTTTGACTAATTTTTAATAATATGTAATAGCCGTAGAAAAAATATAATGTTCAACTCATAAGGGTAGATTTGCAGTATTAGCCTGCGCACATGCTATTTTTATAATACTCGTAGACAATGAGTAACATTTTTTGCTCTATTAACAATATATTCTATTTCAACATTTTACTGTAATCTCTTGCAGAAAAGTCCGTAGTAAATAAACGCTAACGAAATATTCTATAAAAGGTCTTCTCTTTACATAAAATGTCGTGGCATCTGTTTGATATTAAAAAATCACGTTAATTTTATTTCATAATACAAAATTCGATTAAACACCTTTTAAATAAACCTAATAGTTCATTAAGATGCTAATAAACAAAGTCCGGTCCCTGTCACAGAGTTCGGGTCGCCGCGTGTCGCCGCCCAGTTCCCTCACTCCGTTAACCCTTCTTTAGAAATTGGCAACATTTGCGCAGGTTTAAAACCGGTGTATGTTATATCTCTGGTCTCTTTTATCTAAGGTGAAAACCTACTAAACGCTGACTGACTAAATATACGTCTATAAGAAGGTGAGCTGCTGCTATCCTCCATGCTTTGATAGACGTCTTTATCTATACTGTTAGCACTCCTAACCAATCGTGTTAATGGACTATAAAAACCGTAATTTTGTTTATAGCATCTAATATATAATCAAAAATACTCACCAGTTTTTTTGGTGAAGACCGGCTTAGCCTCCTCCGGCGCTTTAGCTGCCAACGAAGCAAACGACAATCCAGAATCGCACTTCAGAATCGGCTCCTCGTTATCGTCCAACTCTGTAATTGTAATTTTATCGCCGCTATTCGCGAAAATATTCCTCGAGATATTCGAGCCGCTAAATACCGACTCGAATGCTTTGGTTTCGGCGATATTTTTAGCTGCCAACGAACTAAATATATTCGTATTACTAGCCGCGGGCGTAGGGGCGTTGAATAAATTATTAGCAGCTACGCCGAAACTGAAATTACTGCTGGTGGAGTTACCGAAAATGCTGTTGTTGGAACTGAAACTATTTCCGATGGAACCAGCCGTAAATAGACCCGAAGAGGGAGTTATGGAAGACGTAAACAAAGGAGGAGCGGTCGTTGTTACGGCGGGAGATGAAAATATAGTAGAAGCGGTCGTTGTAATTGCAGGTGAAGCAAACAAACCACTTGTAGCAGCAGGAGACGAGAACAAACCGGTGGAAATAGTGATTGCGGGAGACGAAAATATATCAGACGAAGTCGTCGCGATGGAACCAAATAGATTGTTTTTAGCGGGAGAGAAACTAAATTTCGTTATCGTATCAGAAACGGTGGTTTTAGCAGCAGGAGACGAGAACAAACCGGTTGAAATAGAGATTGCGGGAGAGGAAAATACATCAGACGAAGTCGTCGCAATGGAACCAAATAGATTGACTGTAGCGGGAGAGAAACTAAATTTCGTTATCGTATCGGAGACGGTGGTTTTAGCGGCAGCTGCAAAAGCGTTTGCGGGAGAAAGCACGGCCGGTTTCAATAAAAATCCGCCAGTGTTGGGAGAAAAACTAAATGAATTTTTCGCTGTATTAACCGAAGTATCACTAGCGAATAAATCTTTTAAATATTCGTCGTCCTTCTTGCACTGTTCGCATTTGCAGTCGGGTAATTGTTTGTACGATAAGAATTTCGGAGGTAGACCCAATTTTAAAGCGAATTGTTCCTCCTCCGGGGTTACTTGCGTCTCTGACACTATTACTACATCATCGTCTTCTGATTTTTCCGTCGATCCTGCAAATAATTCCAACGTTATCGTCGTTCATTAAATAAAATAGGGATATTTTTTACTTTTACCAATTGATTTGTTTGCGATCGTAGTTCCTTGCAGGGCATCGTTGACGGCTTGCAGGAAATTGTTGGCGATATCGGCGTTTTTGAATCTCAAGCAAAATTGTTCGCGTACTAATTCACCTTCTGAATAATCGGCGGCCGCAAAAAGGAGCGATCGCTCATCCTTACGGACGTATTCAATTTCTTTGCTTAGCATATGATTCAAACAAATTTTCAGTACTTGTTCTCTTCGCATTAGGACGCTGAAAAACAAGAAAATTATTCTGATTTTTTTTTAATTAACGCATTATCTTCAATGTATTTTATAAAAAGTACTAACTGCTCTAAAAAAATTAAAACCTAAGCCAACAAGTGAATCGGATGTTCCGGCATTTCTGATGAGAGACTGTGCACAGGTATTTTGCAAACCTCTTACTATTATCTTTAACCTTATTTTTAAAACTCAACAATTTCCTGAGATGTGGAAGTTAACTAGAGTTAGTCCAATCTTTAAAAATGGCAGCAAAAATGATATATCCAACTATCGCCCTGTCACAATTCTGAACAACTTCTCTAAAGTTTTTGAAATACTTGTGCATACTTTCCTTTCATTTCAATTTCGCCAAATCATTAGTCTAACCCAACATGGTTTTATTGCTGGTCGCTCTACTGTAACTAATCTAATCTGTATAACTCATTGTATTTCTGAAGTTTTGAAAAGAAGAAGTCAGGTTGATGTTATTTACACTGACTTCTCTAAAGCCTTCGATAGAATTGATCACAAACTTCTAATAAGTAAACTTTCAGCACTCGGATTTCATGGCTCCTTATTAAATGTTTTACAGTCATATCTATCAGATCGTTACGTTTATGTTCAGTGCTTAGGGCATAAATCAATGAATTTCAAACAAACATCCGGCGTCCCGCAAGGCTCGGTTTCAGGGCCTTTATTATTTCTGCTTTTTATTAATGATATTGTTTGTAATTTGAGCGTCACAAATCTATTGTTTGCCGATGACCTAAAATTTTTTTATGAAATCTCTAGTTATAATGATTGTCTATTGTTTCAAGAGAATCTTAACCGCTTAAACGAATGGTGTAAAAGAAATAAGTTACCGTTAAATGTTAAAAAATGTAATGTAATGACATTTACTAGAAAGGAAGTATCAATACTATATAATTATAACCTACAAAATTCTACATTAAATCGACCAGAACTGATTAAAGATCTTAAAGTTCTCTTTGATCCAAAATTAACGTTTACATTGCACATTGAAAAAACAACTGCTTCTGCTTATCGAATTTTAGGTTTTGTTATAAGGAATATGAGATTATTCAATGACTTTTCAACGATGAAAATACTTTTCTCTTCGCTGGTTTTGTCAAAATTAGAATATGCCAGTATCGTTTGGAGTCCGATATACTCCAATCACATTAACCATTTGGAAAGAGTTCAACGAAGATTTTTTAAATCAGCTTGTCTGTTAAGGGAATTTTCGGAAATTGTCACTTTTCTTAGTAAATACAATACTCATTTAAAAAATTTTAAGAAATATATCTTATGCGAGAAAGTATTCGTTAAAAGGCATTATACGCCGTTATTTAGACAGATGCACTTAATTGTAGTTTTACTTAAAACTTAGAGAAAAAAAATTATAGCTCGTTAACTTTTTAAAAGAAATAAATAAACTAATAAAATGTTAACAATGTATTAATTTGATGACTCTCCGGATCAGGTACCAATAATGAAAAATAAGAAAGTTAATCCGAATCTAAATCTGAACCATCTGTCAATGATTCGAAGTTTGGATATATAACTACTGGAGCTGTAGAAGGTAAAACCTGATATTCTTTTTCCTTTTTAATGACGTGACTAACGCTGTTTTTCCAAACGTCAGTCAAAGACGGATCTTTAAAAACGCCATATATTTTCCAAAACCACACTTGTGCAAAATTATTACGCCTCAGTTTTTGTTTAACTGAAGACCAAACTAATTCAATTGGATTAGGTATACAATACTAAGGTGGTAACCTAAATACAGTTGTTGGGGAAAATATAGACAATCCGACAATGCCGCTTTTCTGAGATGTTCGAATCTCAACCGCTAGCTAGTGACGTAGTCGTTCGTTGAAACACGGACAACAAGAGATTCTTATGTGCGAACGCAACACGTTCCGTGTTGAATAGAGGAGACAGACATTACATAAGAATCACATTCTGTCGAACGAAGATAGAGGCTTCTCAACACATGTCGTATTGTAAGATGAGAATTCCTCTGCTGCTGACCGGTATTGTGCAATATGCGTTCATCATTTCACTCTTGAATCAGACAGTTTTAACTAATATAAACCCTTGTCAATTTATTACATTTATTGCTCCACATTCTTTCTGTTATTTTTCATTAAAAAAATTAAAGTCGCAGCATTGTTTAACTTATTAACAGTGTAACATCAAGAAAGAGAAAAAAACAACAATATGACCACCATCTTTTGCAAACTTATCAATATAATACTGTATTGGAATATTCTTACTTTTAACAATTTGTAACAATTGTGGTTTTGTTTTTACGAAAGCAAGAATATCAATGTTATTATCTTTTAAATACTTTATTATATCTGATTTCTTAAAGCCATTCTTTGGCTTCTTGTGAATTTGCCGGGAATGATATTGCGCATTGTCCATTACAATGACTGAATTAGGTCAAATATTCGGTAAAACATGTTCAGCAAACCACTTCTCAAAAACTGCTGCATTCATATCTTCATTATAATCCAGCAGAGTTCTATTGATATTTTTTGCTGAAAGTAGCAAAGCGTTTGGTATAAAACCATTTTCATTTCCGGCTTGTAAAATTATGACTCGTTTCTCCGTCGAGCATGGAACATTTAAAATACAATATTCTGATCCGTCTGCCCAACCACTTTGAACGACATCATGAGTGTTGAACGACATCATGAGTGTCGAACCATGTTTCATCTATATAAACTATATTTTTATTGCTATTACTAAATTTAAAAATTTCCCTTAAATAAATTTGACGTACTTTCACAATTCAACGTGATTCCATAATGCACATTCGACTATCTAACTTTTTATCAAAAAACACAAATTATTAAAATTTTTCAAGATGATTTTAATGATTTATATTTGAAATCTTCAAAATCTAAACAGTATCTTTAAGGTTGGGACTTGGTTACTTTATACGTGTTGTAAACCATTCATCGAATTATATATTCAGATGCATCATCTGTCCGATGGCTAACGACACGTTTTCTTTTTTCACTGTGTTCAATCACAACGCCTCGTTTAATAACGAAATAAATTGTGGAAAAATGAATTTTTGGTAACTTACATATTCTTTTAACAGCATCTGTTTGTGAAATATTTGGATTTTCTGATTTAAAACAAGCAAACATATTTAAAATTACCTGTTGAACTTGAATATTAGAATTTCTTTATTAATGTGAATATTATCATTAACCTGTGATTCATTAACATCTACATTTACCTCAAAAGGTCTCCAGAAAGCCATCTCGTACAACACAAATCAAAATTTAACAGAAATACCGAAAAATAAAAACAAGTTTAACAAACGCTTTGAGAAACCGCGATAATTTTCCAGACCGTCCACGCTACTGAACAAAGAGCAACTGAAGAATGGCCGAGCCAGTTTTGCCAGATGAACATTTTCTGGAACAGTAGATAGGTGGGAAAAAACAGTAAATCATCGAAACTGAATAGAAGTTTTTGATACAGGGAGAAATAATTATAATTTGCAGTATAATAAATAAAAAAATAAATATAAAATTAAAAAAAAAAAAAAAAAGCTGAAGTCCTTCACAAAAAGCAAGATACTTTTTCAAAGGCAACGACTAGTAAGGAAAAAATGATATTTCAGATTCGCAATGTGAATACTATTTACTTGAAAAAGTCCACAGACAAGTTCGGCGGACTAGTCTGACAAGTTGACTAGTCCAAACACACTTTTCAAAAGTGGAAAAGTAAATTTCTTAAAAACAAAGGTAAAATATAGTTCAAAAAAGAAGAAACGACAAATCATTACTGAGACTTTTATATGTTTTAACAATGTTTTAGAATTTTCTTTTCATACCTTATTAAAACATTCACATGAAAAAATTACCAAAAAATCCAAAGGTTGGAATTATTTTACAAATGAATGCATAAAAACGAAAATACAAATATTGATCCCAAAATGTTTTTGTAAAAACATCCAGGATGAAGATTTAACTGTGTCTACTATGCCCAAGCTCGACTACTGTTCATATTGACTTTTCACAACTTTTCGTACGTCGAACTAGTATAAAAATTACTTCTCATGAAAAGTCCCATCACTACTATTTACTCTATGTATCTTAAATTATTATAGTGCACTTACCGCAACTTATTGGTTTCTTTGTTTCTCAAAATTTTAACATCTCCAAGTCCTCTCTCCTTCCACTCTCCGTTCACGAATCTGAACAATTTGGATCTTTGGCTAAACACAAGATCCTCCTCTTCTTCGCCGGTCTTAACTTGAACTATATCCGGCAACGGGATTATGGGTTTGAAATAAATATTATCTTCCTCTTCTTCGACGTAACTACCTGTTAAACAATTTATAATTCTGTGAGATCTTTTTTTGAAGTTGCGTACTGTTGAAGGGAACATCAATTCTTATTTATAAGAAATAATAAATAGATTGGAAGCTGTATAAAATGTAATTATTGTAGATGAAACAAGTTGTGTATATAAAACGGAAAGTAAATGCAATAAATAATATCTTCATATTTTGCATTGTGTCACATGTATCAAACTTCACCCTTTGATAACTTGCTATTATGTGCCAGTTCTAAAGACAAAAGAATAAGCTCATCTTTAAGCTCATCCTTCATTTATTGGTATTAATACTTCATTATAACATTTTAAATTTTATACACACCACTCGTTTCATCTAAAGTTATATTATATATGGCTTCAGTCTATTTATTTTTTATTTAATAGGATACAAATTTAAATAAAATCTCACATCAACCTTACTCAAGCTGGAGACAAACCAAAAGGAAGATCTCACAAGTCTAAACATTACTTGAAATATTTTCCACAAAAAAAATTAAACTATTAATAATAGATTGTGTTAACGGATTTACCATCAGATTCCTCGTTTCCTGGTCCACCGCTGATTCTTCTCGGCGTTCTCTGTTTAAATTCGAAACCCTCCTTTTGATTGGAACCGAACACAAAACCTGCAGAAACATTGCCGGCATCCGGTTTAGCGTTTTCCGGAGTTTTCGGTTCTTCTAGATTGGACGTGTTGAACGCGACTAAAGGCGTGCTGGGCTTTCCGAAAATCCATTTTGGTTCGCTTGGTTTTTCTACAATCGTATATTATATAAATATATATAAAAAAAAGAGATATTACAATCGAATTATCTAGAGCCACAAGGCAGAACCTCTTAAGTCGACATTTTTCATTTTCATTTTTTGCAAGTGCATAGAACAATCCATTTTACTCAATGTTTTCTGCAATTTATCTCATTTTTTGTTTAAAAATTGTAATACTTCTCCTGGGATGTGTCCGTTGACAGTACGACGTCTGGCGGTAAAAAATTAAACTAATTTTAGGTGTCAACGTGCATAATTACTGTGAATTTTGCAAATAAAGTGAAAAATGGGACTGATTTGTTCGGTCCCTGGTTATAAGTTTAAGCTTTTACTATTTTCCACCAGCTGAGAAACGTTTTGTTAGTGTTGCAAATCACTTTGGAAAATTGGAAAAAATTGATTTGTTAGTGGCTTGGATGAAAGCATTAAAAATTAAAAATATTACACAGAATATGAAAGTCTGTTCACTCCATTTCAAAGTAGATGACTATACAGGGTGTAACTAAATAAGTGTAAAACATTTAAGGGGGTGATTCCTCATTGAAAAAAAGATAGGATCTTTCATAAAAAGAAACTTCATTGGAGCATCCCTTGTTAAGATACAGCCCTTTAAAGGGGGTACATAAAATTTGTTTAACAATTTTTTTCATAAGCACTAAACAAGTTACAATATTGAAATTAACCTGACATTTTCTACTACCAAAAAGGCACTTAGCCAGTAATTTATTTGGTTTACCCCATGGTTGTAAGGGGTGGAAAACGCAACCCCTAAAATTTCGTTCCAACGTAACTTTTTGTCTTATTTGTTTACCATTTAAAAATTTATTTCCGATAGCCTGTTTCATTCTAAACAAAAAAATGAATTTTTTACCCAAAATAAACCAGTTCGCAACAAAAAAATATTTTACGAACAACTACAGAGATACATCGTCATAAATGCGAACTGGATTTATTGTTATTTTGTAGTTACTACCTGCATTAAATGATTAAAAAGGGGGAAATAAAAATTATTAAAAATTAGTAAAAATTAATAAAAAATCATAAAAATTAATAAAAATTGATAAAAATTAATAAAAATTGATAAAAATTAATAAAAATTATTAAAAATTAATAAAAATGAAATTAATAAAAATGAATAAAAATTTATAAAAACTAATAAAAAGTAATAAAAATTAATAAAAATGAATAAAAAAAAAAAAAAGAAAAATGAATAAAAACGAATTAAAATGAGTAAAAAATTAATAAATATAAAAAAATAAATAAAAATGAATGAAAATCAATAAAACTAATAAAAATTAATAAAAAAGGAAGTAATGTATTTTTTTATATTAATAACACGACTCATGCGAGAAAAGTCGCGAGCAAAGCAGCGGGCAATAGCGTCATTTTATATTAATTTAAATTTTCACTCTATGAAAAAATTGACACTTTATATACACCATGTTTTTTTGGCTCCTCGCATAGGATAGATCCCAATACAATTAGGCATTCCAACGACCCGTCAAGCTGCTGACAAGTGGGAACTGACATTTAGTTACGGCAACCGTGTGAGCCTGTTGTCATTGATAGGATCAATGATACATATTGAGATGGTTTTGATTTATTTTTTATTTTTTATGGTTTGAAAATGTTTCCAGACCTAATTTACCATTGGATGTGGTCATTTAGTCGAAAATTCCAGTCCGCATTTCCATCGAATACACAGGTATCAATTTTTTCCCTTTTTATGCGAATTACTATATTAACAGCTTATTTTCAATATTCGGTTGTAAACAAATTTATTTTAAAATGCTTATACCTGATTTTTGTTCAATTTAAATTTAATTACTTCCATTTTTTTTAGGTGATCTCAAATCAAAATGTCTACCCAAGAGCCGCTAAATTGTTAATTTTTTTCCCTTGACAACCTCGTCTCTAATTCCATAATATCTAAAAAAGTTCATTATTTTGTGATGTCATTTCCACTAAGGCATTTCTAAATATAATTTATTATTAGTTTTACAACACATTTTTCTAAAATTTCAGTAAAGCTAAAACTTGAAATTTTGTAATTTTCGTGCACTCGCAAAGGACTAACCACGGGTATTTTTTTAATATTCCTGTTACATTATAGGGGGTGAAATTAGCAACCCTTACTTTATTTCATATCAAAACTTTTTTTCGAGATGAAGTTTTATGAAATAAAATTACTTGAAATCCTTGTTTTATTTAAACATTTTTTTATTCTTAAATTTTTTTCCCAAAACCAATAGCTGCAGAGAAAAAAAATAAACACCATAATTTATAATTAGTTTAATAAATTGAGTGGAAAACAGTAAAGATGTAAAATGTAATACGATTCATAATAAATGCTGGAAATGACCACCTCTAGCCAAAATAAAATTACAGAATTTCAAGTTTCTAGCTTTACTGAAATTTTAGAAAAAATAAACTCAATTTTAGTCACCACCTTTTAAGGATGATATCTCGGAAAGGGGTGGGTTGAGGAAATTTTGTTATAGGAAAGACCCATCTTAATTTCATATGAGCAATCACCTCCTGATTTTAGAAACACCCTGTAACTAGTTTGATATTCTAAAATTGACATGTTGTTCTTAATTATATTACTTTGGCAAATTGTGCATACATATTTATTATTTCTTTAATCAGCTGTGTTGATTTGCTTTATACTTATCAAAATCTATTCAAATTGATTCATATTATACAAGGTTGTTCATTTTTACTTGATATTATTTGGTAAATTTGTTTTTTCTTATTATTATAGTCTATTTTTATGTATGAGAGAGTAATAAAATAGCATTTCTAATGCAAAACTTAGTACGGTCATTTTAAATATTTTTACAGAATAATCTAAATATTTCCTAAAATTGTAATAAATGTACCTAAGCTATTACAAGTTTTGGGTCTTTTATTGGTCCTTTATAAACATAAGCTGTACAGAACAATAGAAAAAGGTTTGGACAGGCCAAAAGCCCTGTGTATTAAAGATTACATAGCCGTATCTTAAGATTATTTTCAATAAGTACCTATTTGCCAATTTTGTTTTATTTTAATTCCAAGAATTTCTTACAGTAATCGAATTATAAGTAGATAAATACCTTCCCAACAAATTTCACCGAAAATGCGATTATAGGTTTTCCATTTAGTAAGGAGGTCCAAGTTGTGTATTCTTGACAGTTTACTAAATGTCGTTTAGTTGCAACTTGCAAGGTGCAGTTTGAATTCTAGTGTGATCATGGAAAATTTGGAAGGGCCGCATAAACGACAAAAAATCGGTCCTTTAACAGTTAATGAAAAAACATTAATATTTAATTGTTTTAAATCATTTACAGACAAACATTTATGTAAAAGTGTTGATGACACAGTGGAATTAGTTAGTAGTACGCTTGGAGTTGGGAAATCCACGATTTACAGAGTTGTTAAAGAAGAGAAATGTGGCGAGTTTCAAACAGCACGTAAAGCTCCAGGAAAACCAAAATTTCAATTAGAAAATCTTTTGAAAGAAAGACTTCGAAGGAAAGTGCATGCGTTCTTCTTTAGAAAAGAATTTCCGACAGTAGACAAAGTTTTTGCCACGGTTCGAGATGATAAGGATTACCCTGAAATGAGTCGAAGCACACTATGGAAACTTTTAAAAGAAATAGGTTTTCTATGGAAAAAGCATTCCAGAAAGTCTATTTTAATAGAAAGAAGCGATATTGTAGTAGGGAGAAGAAATTACCTAAGGACTATAAAAGAAATGAGAAACCAAAGAAGAAATATATTTTATTTAGATGAAACATGGATCAACGAGGGACATAAACCAAATAAATTTTGGCAAGATGAAACTGTTACAAGTCGAAGACAGGCTTTTTTAAATAATTTATCTACTGGTTTAAGTCCACCATCAGGAAAGGGGAGCAGACTAATAATAGTACACATCGGTAGTTCAAACGGTTTTGTTAATGGTGGTTTATTGACTTTTGAATCTACTCGTACCGGTGACTACCATGAGGACATGAATGCTGATGTCTTTAAGGAGTGGTTCGAACAAATTATAGATCTTCTTCCTCAGAACTGTGTAATAGTAATGGATAATGCAAGTTATCACTCGAGACTTATAGAAAAAATGCCCACAACCAAGTGGTTAAAAAAAGATTTACAGAATTGGCTAAATTAAAAGAATATTAAGTTCCATCCCGGTTCTGTGAGAAAACAACTGTATCATTTGTGTTCCCTTCATAAAGAGAAATTCAAAAAATATGAAATTGATGAAATTGCAAAAAATCGTGGGATGACGGTGGTTAGATCACCACCATATCATTGCGAAGTAAACCTGATTGAACTGATATGGGCACAGATAAAGGGAGAAGTTTCAAGAAAAAATAATTCTTTTAAAATGAGTGATGTTAAACAGTTGTTTTTGGAGGCTGTAAATAATGTGACGCCTGAAAACTGGGAAAAGGCAGTAAATCATACGATTAAAGAAGAAGAGAAAATGTGGAAGTTGGACAATATTACTGATGAAATGATCGAGCCACTCATTGTAAATATTGGTTGCGACAGTTCATCTTCTGATTTGGATTTGTAGGTAAGAAGTAGTTTTTATATTAAAATTATTATTTATGAACGTAACGTTGTTTAAAAGTCAAAGTTTAAACCTTTATACCTACATAACCCGTTTGACACAATGTTCTTAACATACCTTGTGGAAAAATAAAACATTTTAGAAAAAATTGCACTTTCAGCTGTTTAGAAGTTATAAGCAGGTTAATTAGGTGAAAATATAAGTGTATACTCGAGGAATAACTTCAAAAAATATTTTAACTGTCTACTAAAAGAAGTGATACGCCTATGGATTACGAACGCTTTATTATTTTAATACTCTCTCATACATAAAAATAGACTATAGCTGTATTGCTTCAAGTTTAATGGTCTAAATTGATTTAAATAGTTTATTGAGATATAGGGTTGTTCATTATTATTTAATATAATTAAAATTATTTTCTCTTTTTTGAGATTTTATTTTATGCTTCTTTATATCCTTATTTTGACTTTGCTATATTGTGTTTCATTATAATATACAGTTATATAGATTGCTCAAAGCGGGTCATTTACGAGCGGCCATATTGCCTTTCAAGTGTTCATTAATCAGAATCGATTTTGCAAAAATGTGTTTACAAACCAATATTTAGCCTTTGAATATAGTAAAAAAAACAATTACCTATATATTTACTTCAAGGCATAAGCTTATGTTTATTTTGGAAAATATTGTTATGCAACACCCTGCAGTAGCCTGTGGCTATCATAGGAAACGTACAGATAGAAGAAGTGAAATGTTACTCATCGTTCTACAGTGTGCTGCGGTCGTCATAAGTAAAAGTACAAGTAAAAGAAGACAGAATATTCTAGAAATGTCATTACCCGTCAAGAACATTCTGGATATTTCGAGAAGGTTCGAGAAAGTTAACAAGCTATATAAATCGACGACCTGACGTCAGAGTTTTAGTTTTATGATAGACGTTATACATGAATGTTATCAGTTGTAAAGTTATTGTCAAAGTTGAATTATAGTTATTGTAAAGTTCAGTTGAAATAAATTGTTATACCAAAAACCAGCGTAACAATATGGATGATCAATCTATGTAATTATCATTTCATTGACCTTGTCAAATCATCAGACCTACAGGGTTGCCATAATTTTGCCATGTCAAAACCCATTGGTACCCAATTTGTTTGGAATGCCTAATAGATGGAGAGAAATGTTTTAAATGTAATTTTTAGTCGAAATGTTAGTTATGAGGTCCTACATTGTGGCCCTCGATATCATTTTATTACCTTGTGGTACTACGTTTTCTAGAGTAGAGCTGGTGATTTTCGATCCGCTCATTTGATTAGATCCAAAGAAGAAGCTCGTAGGCGTCGTAAATGATGGTTTGATATTGGTGTTACTAATGACAGGTGTTTGAGTTAAATTTATAGTTGGAGTTGTTGTTGTTGTTACAGCAGCACTAGGAATTCCAAAACTCCATTTGTTTTCAATTGTGCTCAAAGGTTTATTCAAACTGGCGACGTTCTGCTTGACGCTACCATCTCTGGGCGTATCGCAGGCCACGCAGTCCTGAGCCGCGCCGTCGTTCCTGATCAAACACGTCTTGCACTCCCACGAACCAGCCTTCACTTTAAAAGCATCCCCGAATCCAGCGTCCACCTTCTTCGCATCCCCGGCGGATTTATCGCCGACATTCCAGTTAAACGCGAAGTTAGTCGCCGGTTTAGGCGCAACGGCAGCGACGCCATCTTTCGGCGTATCGCAAGCCATGCAACTCTGGGCATCGCCGTCGTTTCTGATTAAGCATATCTCGCACTCCCACGATCCCGCTTTGGCTTTGAAGGTATCTCCGAATCCCACATCCGCTTTCTTAACCTCCTTGGTCGTCTTTTTAGTTTTACCGATGGCGAACGAGTTATTGTCGTCCATTAGTTTCTGCATGTTTTGTAACGTTCGCAAAAATAAACTCGCTAATTCTTCGGTTTTGAATCGGGCCGTAAATGTTTCCGGTACTAATTCTTCTTCGGAGAAATCTTGAGCTCGCCACACGATCGCTTTGGGATTACCGGAATTCGGTTTGAAAATCATATCTTTGAGTACGCGATGATTGCAGCACACTTTGTGCACCTGATCCCGGCGCATTATCAGCCTCAAAAAGTCGTCTTTTAATATCTTGATGGTGCCGACGCCTCGTTCCTTCCATTCTTTGGTCTCTCCGTTGGAATCGTACCTGAATAATTTCGTTCGAGCTTCGAACAGTACCTGGCAATTTTCCTCGCCGGTTTTGACCTCCACGAGTTCGGGTAGAGGTACCACAGGCTTGAATTCGGCCGTGGGTACGAATTCGTCGACAGGTGACAAATCCTTATCAGCGTCGTCGGGCTTCTTCTCTTGAGCGATCACCAGAGGCGAAAAAGTTTTACTGTCCTCGTCCTTTTTGAAACCGCTTTTTCCGAAAACGAACGTCGCAAACGGACTATTAATAGTGCTAGTAGTAGTCACAACAATTTCTTTAGGTTTCTCCGGCGTCACGATTAATGGCGGCGCTATTTCTTTCGGTTTAAACGTAGGAGTGCCGGTAAAAACGAATCCTCCCAAAGAAGTCGAACTAGTCGATTGGAAAAGATTCTGAGCCGGTTTCTCGAACACCGATTTCGGTTTTTGTTGGTCCTCCGACGACATTTTGACGGATTTGACGGTGTCTGAGAACTTTTGGGCCTCCTCGGCCGTTTTGAATTTCACACAAAACGTTTCGATTTGGATTTCGCCTTCGGAGAAGTCTTGGGCTATCCACGTGAAGGCTTTATCGTTGTTTTGAGAAGGTATTAAGGTCATTTCTTTTTGGATGACATGGTTGGCGCATATTTTCAAAACTTGATCGCGGCGCATCAGGATGCGGCATTTACCGTTTTCTTTGTTTTTCAGAATTTTTAAATTGCCCACGCCTGTAAATAAAGAACATAATTACTTTCTAAATAGTCCCTAGGAGGTCGGAGTAATAATTATTAAAATTTTCAATTTTATGCCTAGTCACAACCGTCTTTATCTTCATAGCCACAAAGACCAAAAAATGGCAACATTGTAAGGAGGTCTATTATTTCTTTCTTTGGCCCAAAAATGCCAGATAAAAAAATCTAGCAGGTCATTTTAAAACTTTCACCCACGACACCCGCGTGCGAGTAAAATACTTGTATAATAAATTAGTGTATTTAATACAGAATTAAACCGTTTTTCATTTGAAAAATTTGTTGTTAGTGTTGATGAAGTTTTACCGATGTTTGAAATGTTTGAGATAACTGGAAAATTTCGATGCCAGATTGTAAGGATTTTTGGTTTTTTCGTAAAAAACGTCGAGAAAGTCGGAAAATTGGTGGAAAACCCCTTTACCGTAGTTAAATTTCAAATTTTCCTATACCATTCGGTAGGGAGCTATTAAAAACACATTTAACTTGAATTTTTTATAAATTTCTAAAAAAACCGCCAAAACTGTACTGTTTTTTATTTCCCCCTCCCCCTGTCTAAAAATCATGTCATGTGATACATCAATCGGCGCGTCTCGTCAAGCCGGATAATTTTTCTTAAGGTCTTTTTATTCTATCTCCCCTTTTAAGCAACGTTTTTTTTTGGAAAAGCGTTCGAACCAAATTTTCCCAATTTTTCTGGGAAATAAGTTTAATGTATCGGGAAAATTTTGATATCAAATTATGAAGAACTTCGAGTAGTATAATGAAACTTTTAGTAAATAATCCGCTATCAAAAAAAAGTTGGTCTAGCCGGAAAATTGATGTAAAACCACCCAGCGGGCGGTAAAGTAGTCCGCAGGCGATAATGGGACACTTTACGCCCGCTAATCTGGACTTTATCGCCTGGTAGTGCATAAAATATATTATGCATCTCTGAAAAATCGTTCACCTTTTCCTGTTCGACCCCGAAGCACCACAATTACACATTCATTAACACTGTTGTTTCAAACCTTCGGTACTGAGGTACCTTTTATAGAGTTACAATTAAAAAAATAAGAATAATATTTAAAAACTCACCTCTTTCCTTCCATTCTTTATTCCCGTTAACGTTGACGTGTCTGAACAACTTAGCACGAGCGCAAAATAGTTCAGTTTCGTTTTCTTCACCGGTCACGACAGGAACTTCATCTGGTAGCGGGATTACTGGTTTAAAATCTACATTCGGTTCATCCTCCAAAGAATTTATAGAGGTTGTACTGATATTAGCGCCGATTTTATCCTTATTCTGAACGGAAGTAGAAAAGTCCGTCGGTTTGGCGGAAGGGACAAACAGAGACCCTGTTACGTTCGACGAAACAGTAGTGGCGCTAGCAGAACCGACTTTGGAGAAATTGCTCTTGACGTGTTGGGGTGGGATCGTCACCGACAACACCGGTTGAGATATTACCGAGTTTTTAGAAGGCAACGGGTCCGAAGTCGTTATCACGACGTTCACGGGCGGGGATTTCCCGAACGACGGTACTATCAATGGCGACGAGGTGGCGACAATCGGAAGTTTAATCGGATTATTCAGATTCAGAGCCGAAGAAACGGCTGCCATATCTTCCTTGGCGGGCTGACTGCTTTGAACGATGCTTTGGGAGGGTAATTGAGGTTTTCTTATGTCCAAACCGAATTTAGTGTTGGGCGGTTGCTGAATGAGAGCCGCCGGTAAAGATGTTGATGGTACCACTCCTGGGGCTTGTTGGTCCGACAAAAACGGTATAGATCCTGAAAATAAAGTAATTTTAAACGTTCCGAGGCACGGCAAACGGCATCGAATGTCATTAAACATCGAGAAGGTCACGTCAAAATAAAAATTATTCAAAATATCCTTAACATTTGCAACACTTTTAATAGTTATGCAGATGAATTAAATTTGGACATAAACTTTGACTCTCTTACAAGCATTAAACGTAAAATCAATGAGTACTTACCCAGACAATATTAATAAATAGGTATAGTTTCATTCTTTCGTTAGATTTTATAGTGTCAGTTCAAATATGTGAAGCACAAAACTATTAATTTTAAGTATTTTAAGTTATTTTCTTTAAATTACGAATAATTATATGTAGAGCTAGGAATATATGCAAAACGCCATATTTTGCATATGTTGCATATATATTAAATTTTTGATTTTTAATGAATATATTGACATTTTGTTAATTTTTTGGCATATATATGACGTACTAATTGGCTGGACATATTAAAATTATAAGTTTTGGACCAAAATAATATTTTGTGAAATGCCTTAAAGGTCGACTTCCTAAAATTTTGAAGGATTAACTTTTCCCTGTAATAAATTACGGTTAATGGTGTAGGTACTTGAGAGGATTAAATTATAAACACCCTCCTAAAACCAACAAATTTTGCTTAATATCCTTTCAGGTAGTTGTATTAATATCTTCAAATTTCTAAATGACTCAGTTTACTTTCAACTTCATTTCAGTCTTTATTGTTGTATTGTGTTGTGTTAACCAGTGGGAAAAATGGCAAAATTAATTGAGTCGTGGGTAAAATCTTATTCAGATTTTGTTGTAGAAGGTGTTTTGTAAAACATGTTCTAAAATTGTAAGTACTTCTTACAGTTAAAAAAAAAGTAGGCCAACTTTACAACGTACGCATTTATTTAATTTAATTAAAACTTCAACATCTACAGGAATTTATTTGTTTTAGATTCCATGTAAAAAAAAGTTTCAAATCGACCAACACGCGAAAACACCCTCACATATAGCAAAGCAGAAATCTAAAGACACTCGCAGACAAAGTCAACTTCACTTGAAACAATATTTAGAATCTAGATCGTCTAGAAGTAAACAAGATATTTTTAATGAAGATTTATGCAAAGCTTTAGTGACTTCGAATATCCCTTTAATACGATTAAATAATCCAAATCTCCGATCATTTTTGCAAAAATACTGTAAATTTAATATTCCAGAGCAAAGTATATTACGCAAACGTGGTGTTGACAGTTTGTACATTGAGACTCGTGAAAAAATTCGTGAGATTACCGTTGGAAACCATTTCTACATTATTGTGGATGAAACAACAGACTCTTGTGGTCGATATATAGCCCATTTAATGATAGGTTCATTACGCGAAGAAATGCAAATTGGTCCATATCTAATCGCTTCAAAGCAATTAGATAAAACAAATAACTTGACAATAACTCGTTTTATCCAGACAGAATTGTCTTCCTTTTTTCTTCCGGAAGCCGTTCCAACAGAAAAACGTTAATTGCTGTTATCCGATGCTGCCCCGTACATGGTAAAAGCCGCACAAAATTTAAAAATGTTTTATGAAAACTTAATCCATATTACATGTTTGGCTCATGGCCTTAACAGAGTTACAGAAGAAATTAGGTCTAACTTTCCTTTAATAAATAATTTAATTAGTAATGTAAAAAAAATATTTCTTAAAGCTCCTCTAAGAACTCAATTGTACAAAGAAAAATTTCCTGAATTACAGATGCCACCGGAACCTGTGATTACTCGATAGGGTACCTGGCTTAGAGCTGCCTTTTTTTACGCAGATAATTATGAAAAAATTAAAGAAATCATATTTGATTTTGATGATTTATCTAAGGAAATATCTAATACAAAGAAGTTGTTTCAAAATCACATATTACCAAAGCAATTAGTGTTTTTAAAAAATTATGCATTTGTACCCAAAATTATATTAGATTTAGAACAAAAAAATTTACCTTTGGTGACTTCCGTAAATTTAATTAAGACGTTTGAATCAGAGTGTAAAAATGTCCAGGGCGATATTGGAAAGACGATTTTTCATAAATTTTCAAATGTAATTTTAAAAAATGAAGGATTTATTGTTTTAAGAAACCTTGCTAATATTTGTTCTGGTAACTTTGAAGATATTAATACTATTCATCCAGATATTTCAGGAAAATTTAAGTTTGCACCTATTCTGTAGATGTCGAAAAGAGTTTTTCTTTGTACAAGTACATACTTACTGATAGGAGACAATCATTTAATACAGATAATTTAGAAAAACATCTAATTGTTTATTCGTTTTATAATAATGTTGATTTGTAAATAAAATTGGTTAATAATTAAATAATTATTAAGTATTATATTAGGTACTGTAAATTAAAACAAATAATAAATATTAATAAACTATTTCGATCAAATAACAAATTACTCTTATTGCATGTGCTCTGCATATTTTTCAATTTTTTACGCATATATTGAAGTATTTTGCGGCATATATATGCGCATATTTAACTACTTTTTGGGTGCATATATTCCTAGGTCTAATTATATGTATACATATATTTTTTATTGTATGTGTCCTCTAATTGGTGTTTAACCTGTTTGGACAATAAAATATTTTTTTTAATTTAGAACGTAAGAAATCATATCTCGGAAATTGTAACTAGAAACGCTAAGAACGTCAAGTGTCAAATATCCTCTGCCCAAAAAAAAACTTTAGAATCAAAAAATTCAAGTTAACCATGAATATTAAACGTTGAAAATGCCAAAATGCCATATTATCTCACCATTGAAAGAATATTTACCTGGTTGTGCAAAATTGAGTCCTCCATACGTGTACGGTAAACCCGGATACAATCCCGGGTACATTAAAGACGGGCCGTAGGCTGGTAAGTGAGTCGGATTTGGTATTCTGCCCGCCGGATAATTGGGATAAGTTCCGGGAATATTGGCGGGAATGCTTGCCGCGATATTATAGTCCACGCCGTAATCGGGATCCAGTACATATAAATCTTCTTCACTGAGTTGATTGTTTTTATTATCATTCTTCTTTACTTCATTAAGATCTTTTCTTATATCCTTAAAAAAAAAGAGTGAGTAATCGGCGTTTAAAACCATTCAAGCAATCCCTATGCTCCACTCGCGACCTATTTTATTCATAATCTGTCAGATTTATATTTTTGATACATTAACAATATACAGTATGTTAATGGGCTCGAAAAAATTATATTTGGACGTGCGACAGACAAAGAAAGCAATTGGTTTAACCACGCCCTTTCGATAGCAAGAATAGGATATTGTATGTATATAGTGGTCCACCAATTATTCTATTTCTCTCTAATCAATGCTATTGTATTTATGTACCTTTCTACTGGAGTACGGAGAGAAAAGTTACTGTTGCTTATATTATTATTCACACAAAGTATTATGTTTCCGATATACAGCAATGTTAAACCTAATATTAATGAAGATAAAAATTACTACAAACAAATTAATAACAAAAAATTATTAGAACATATACAACATATAAATTGGTGTGAATTTATAAATATTGAAAATCTTGATTTGTCAGTTGAGAAACTTGTAGACTATATCCAAGATGCTATTAAAAAATCTGAAATTAAAATTAAAATAAAAAAAAATGAACGAAAACGAAAGGCTTGGATAACTGGATCATTGATTAAACTCATCAATAAAAAAAATGAAACTTTTAAAAAATATAAAAATGATCCACAAAATGCAAGTTTATATAGTGAGTACAATAACTATAAAAAAAATGTAAATATCCAAATTAAAGAAGCAAAAATCAACTATTATAAAAATATGATTGAGAAAAAAAAGAATGATTCTACACAACTTTGGTCCGTAATAAATAAATTAACAAAAAATAAAGAAAAAAAGCACGTTTCTAGCAATTCAATATTTTTTATTCCCACAACTATAACCGAGGTAAAACAAATAATAACAGGTTTAAAAAAGAAGAAAGCTCCAGGATCGGATAACATAACTGCAGAGACATTGCAACTCATTTCAGACTTTATAGCTGCCCCACTTACAAATATAATCAACACAAGCCTCTCTACAGGCACCTTTCCTCAACTTTTTAAGCAGTCTCTAATTATTCCCATATATAAAAATGGCGAAAAAACAGAAATAACTAACTACAGACCGATAGCCCTGATTTCTTCAATAGGGAAAATTCTAGAAAAAGTGATAAAACATCGAATATGTGACTTCCTGAAAAAAAAAACAAATTGTTATCAAAAAGACAATATGGATTTAGGGAGGGAAGTTCAACGGAAGACGCAATAAGGGAACTAACTAATAAAATTTACTGTTCAATTGACAATAAAAAACCATCAATAGGAATCTTTTTAGACTTGGCTAAAGCTTTCGACACCGTCAATCATTGTCATTTATTAAATTCCCTTGAAGATATGGGTATAAGGGGTATAGCCAATAAATTAATGAAGTCTTACTTAACAAACAGAAAACAGCAAACCAAAATACAAAATATTACCAGCATCGATCAAATAGTCTCATGTGGTGTACCTCAGGGAACAGTATTAGGGCCTCTACTCTTTATAGTCTACCTGAACAATCTCTTTTTAGTGGAAAGTAAAGCAAATATTATTAGCTTTGCAGATGACACAGTAATGCATTACGAAGCTACTGACTGGAATAACTTGAAAACATTGGTAGAGAAGGATTTCCCCAAAATAAAAACATGGTTTGACTACCGATTACTATCTATAAATTTTAAAAAAACAGTATACCTACCTTTTTGCAGTCTAGCCTCTGGTCTTCCTCAATTTCAAAATATCGCTATCGAGAACGACACATATATACTACCTGAAAATAAAACTAAATATTTAGGGATAATAGTAGATAGCCACTTGCGCTGGGACAAACATACTCAATACTTACTAAACAAATTACGTAGTGTCTTATTTAAATTCATACAAATATCACCAATGCTAGAATTACCACAGAAGAGAATTTTGTATCATAGCCTTTTCGAATCTCATCTCAACTATGGAATAATTGGTTGGGGTGGAGTCACTAAAACGCACTTAAAGCCAATCGAGATCATTCAAAAAAGTTTTTTAAAAATAATGCTAAACAAAAATAGAAGATATCCTACTGAAAATGTGTATCAAGAAACCCAGATATTTGACTTACGACAGTTATTCTGTCAAGCAGCACTCACCCATCAATTTCAAAATCAAGATGATCTGCAAACACCGTTGCATCAATATGATACAAGAAATAGAGACAATTATTTGCTACCACGAACGAATAAATCAATTGGACAAAATAGCTATCGGTTTTTGGGACCAAAAATCTTTAATAACATTCCAACGGAGCTTCGAGAAATAAAAACAGTAAAAAAATTTAAAAGATGTGTAAAAGAATTTATAACAAAAACACCGCGAACTTTTTTCCGTAATATAATCGAATAAAAAAAAATAGAAATTAAATAATTAGAAAGTATATTATAAACGTTAAAGAATCTGAATATTTTAAAAATGTTCTTTGTCTATGTAGAAGTTATGTTCGTTGTATGAGATACTTATGCCGAGGTATATTGGAAATAAATTTTACTTATTATCAAAGTGTAAAGATTGTACTTATATAACTTTTATTTATATTAATAATTTGTATTTTAATTGCTTCATATTTTTAAATTGTTACTATTGTATTGTTATAAGTTTTATTTATTTTATTTTGTCGTATTTTTTGTCACACACAATCTGTCATTGTACTTTGTACAGTGAGCAGATTCAGTGACACATTTCTTGTTTATTTACATTTTATTTCCTATTGGATTTTATTTTATTGTATCTGAATGTATATATTGCTGGTAAATAAACATTATTATTATTATATATTATTATTACAGGGTGTTAAAAATGAAGTCCTGATGACACATTTTTGTAAATATTTTCTAAACGTTTAAAGATAACTAAGTGAAATTTGGTACACTTGTTATGCTCCATTTAATAGACTATGGATCGTTACGATCCTATATAATATTTATTTATTTTTATTATTTATTTTAAATGTATCCAAATAGGTTATTCGCGTCAAAATTGTTTTCACTTTACTGTTTATAAGCCTATTTTGATGAACCTATTCCTAAACCTTATGATCCGCCTCTGGTTTTACTTTTCCGTTTTTATCATTTTTACCCAAATCGTGCCTTCGAATATTTTTGATGAAAAAGAGCCGACGGACAGTACGAATACGAATTTTGCGAGTATCGGTACCACACAGCGAATAGAAAATTATCAGCAATTGTGTCGGCGGCACGAATATTTCCTATCCTGTCCAAGAAACAGAACTATACCTTGGTAAGTCAAAGAAAGATTAGTTTTAATAGTTACATATAACAACAAAAACAATTAATTAAACGCCACATGAACCAATTTCTCCCAACATCAAAGCAGTCCACTCAATTTTTTATTTGGTAACGAACCAGACTAAACTCGTTTTCGATCATCTTCATAAGTGCCTTAGCTGCGTGCGACCACGCGACAGAACCGCGTTAATGGGCTTTGAGTCATTTAAAAACATCAAAAGTATTGCCGCGCGCGATGCCTCGCGAGCAGTCGCGCGCGACATGTCGCGTGAGTGTGCTTTCCCTCGGAAATTTCTCTAGCTGGGGATCTGGCTGGCTCTCAATATTCGAACCTTTTCATTAAAATTAATTTCTCATCTGATAACTTAAATTAACAGCACAGCTTATACAATACAGCTCCACAACTCCGTGTCGGCGTCTTTGATCTGGCGGTCGAGAACCAAGCAAGACGGAATGGTGCTATCTCTGTTAGATTAAAGGGAAAAGTCGGGCCCGGATTAAGCAATTTTTTTATTATTGAAAAAATTGAAAACCTTGACGTAATAAGGTTGGTTATATGCCATGTTAAGTAAGTTTTGGGAAATTAAATTTTTAATTTGTTTTAAATCTGTCAAATATAATTAAAAAAATTATTTAAATATAAATATTACGAAAAATAGCACATCTTTCGGATTAGAGGTAAAATAATTTGTATGTGGCTAGTAAAATCCTCGTTAACAAATGTTTTGAGCTAAAACAGTCACTTCACGACAAATTGTGACTTGGATCCTTTTTACACCAAGGGCTTCAATTGTTAAAGAAATGTGTCACGCTCGTGGATGCAAATCAAGTGGTGCCCCGTGTCTCTGGCAAGTGTTACTCTTCGCGCAAAGGGTTTATACCTAGATAAACGAATGCTCCGACTGAGGTCTGGGAACTCTATGGTATTTTGGAATTATAAAGAATTTGTGCTTTTATTTTAACAATATTGGTTATATTTAGATGTATTCTTATTAATTGAAATACAGATTTGTAGAAGTAATACTTTAACAGTTTTTATTAATATAATATATTCAATTTTTATCTGACCATACCGAAGTAGGGAATTTTGAAACTTTATAGTAATGTGAAATTTGAATTACAATATTACACGATATTACATAATTAGTACTTATTTTAGGTAGGTACTAAATTTGTACTTGGAGAAAGTAATATCGATTTTTACAAGAAAACTTGAAAAGTAAATTAATTTAGTTCTTATTTCTGATGTAAAACTTAAACCAAGAAAACAAATAAATTGTAGTTTGTTCAACAAGGGTGGATATGATAGCCATATCACACAAAGACGAAGTTTGAGCACGACGTCGTAGGCGGAGTACTCAATCGTCTGATTGTGATATGAACAATCCACTCAATATGGTCAGTATATTTTTTCTACGACCCACTAACGAAGATCTACAAATTTAAAAAATTATTTTAGGTTATTTAGACAAAATAACTAATTTTAAAATAATTTTCGAAGTTGACTAATTTATAAAATAAAATAAACATGAAAAATTAATTAGTCCTCGGCCTAGATTCGATCCCGGGCTTTTCGCATGGAAGGCAGATGTTCTGTCCTCATCTTCACCGAAACTTTCAGGACTTTAGTTTTAATACTCGTAATTAAATTAGTATCATGTAGTTTGATTAAAATTTATTTTTTTTTTAAATGTGGACATAATAAAAACAAAAATGCTATTATTTATCGAGTCTACACAAAAATTTTAATGTATATTTAATATCAATAACTAAAATATATATTGACAATTAGTTTAACAGAATTATCACTTATTTAAAAATTTTTAAATAATAGGAGTTGGGTGACCAAAATATGAACTGTGATTTGTAGATTTAATTTTATTAAAGTGTTCTCACTACCTAAAATGGATATGAAATATATTCGTAGTTGAACGCAATAACATAATTTTTCGTTTTGTAGTATGTGCGTAGATTGGCTAATATCCATGCACAGATTACAAAACGAAAAAGTATGCTATTGCCTTCAATTGAACGAATATATTTCATATCCATTCTAGGTAGTGAGAACACTGCAAAAAAAAAAATTCGCCAATCACCGTTCATATTTTGATCAACCGACTGCTATTATTTTTAAAATTTTAAATAAATGACAATTCTGTCAAACTAATTGTCAGTATATTTGTTAGTTATTGAGATTAAACATACAATAAAATAAGTTATTCTTTTGGAAAACGTTAGCATGGATGACTAAAGGGTATGGGGTTAATTAATTCTAAAAGTGTGGTACAAATGTTATTTTTTGTAGCCAATTCTTCAAAATTATTTTAAAATATCTTTTCAATATTGAATATTAGTTCTACAAATTCATCATTTGACAGTTGCAGATTTCCAAATGTATCTGAATTGGCGTTATCATATGCCTTTTAAAAGCAATAAAAAGAAAAATCGTCTAATTCAACGTGATCTTTGTTATATTTAAGACAGGTATCGCAGGAGTGGATCCGCAAGGCTTTTATTAAAAGGTAACCACACACATACCTGATAAAATTTTTCTGTAGCAATTCGTCTTTACAATAATTTAGGGTGTTAATAATTTCATCATAAAATAAAATACAAGGTGTTCCATTTAAAAAACATACATTTTAATTTTCCAGGCAAAAACGTGACACCCTGTATATCCAAAGATATTTTTAAAATATGTAGGTATTTTTCAAATCCATATAACTTTTATTTAAAACTTTCTTGCGTGTCTACAACAAAATAATGAACAATAACGCACTAATGAGACACCCTGTATAAATTATATTTTTAACAATGAAAATTTCTTATAATGTAGTACTTATCGGTTTGGGTCCTTGGAAAAACTAAAGAATGTTTTCTTGCAGGTATAACCCTTATTAAAACAGCTTTTGACTGCACAAACTCATTCTACTCACAGCTAAAGAGTCACCAAAATAATAACAGTACCTTTAACTCAAACAAAATCAACGAAATTATAGGCTCCACGAAATTATACAATCAACGAAATTATACGCACGACTCAACACCTTGCCTAAGTACGCTTCTGAACGCCAAAACCGTCTTTTCCCTTCGAAGGCGGAGCTTAAGCGATGCGCGACGAAATCGACGCAAACCGTTGCCGCCAAGAGAGTGTTTTAGCTGTATTGTTAAGCTGTGTTAACAGTTCAGTGTCCAGACTGCAAAAGATAGTGGAAGCGAATGTAAGCAGTCTCACATTATAAATTTCCTCCTTTCTATCGGAAATTCACTGCTAGATACTGATATATACTCAACTTTAACAGAAACTATTTTCGAATTATTCAACTGGATGTTTTGGAGCTAGAGAGGCTACCGAGGATATCGATGATGGCGAGATTCCTAACTTAGAAGATCTTCAGATGTCTACATAGCAGTAATTAATTCACGAGACTAAAAACTATTGATTATGGTTTGATAAGAGTTTTAACTTTAAAGTTGTTGGTACCAGCATGATAAAAATCATTATTTAGAAAATTTCAGTATTTTTTTTTTATTTACTTTTGTAAAATAATTCACTTCGTATAATTAAATAAACAAATTCATTTATACGTTAAATCTTATTTTTTTTTTAAGGTTACAACAATTCTCTTTTACTTAAATTAAATTTTATATGAGGTTTTATTAATTTCCTTTTGACAAAGCTAGAGTTTATAATTCTCACTAGCTTTCTAAAAATAAAAAGAGAATTCTTGGCGCCCCTCTCTCCCATAAAACTATTATCCCCAAAGGTGTCTATTAGAAAAGCCGAATTCACGACTGAGAAAACCATATGGTCAATGTGCTCATTTCTTTTTAATTGATTAAAGGTAAGTAATGTTTGGTGTTAAATTTCTATGAGCTACTCAAAATTTCTTATAAGTGTTTTGAAATTAACATTTTATTGCAAAGTACCGCCGAGCTATTACAGTTTTCCAAATGTTGTAGTCAAAAATGTTAAAAATTGTTAACAAAAAAAACTTTCCCCTCCTAACTTTCTCACCTCTGAAGATGATCAAAAACTGGTGTTTGGTCCATTAAATAGAGCCAAATAGTTTAGCATTTGTATTAAATTTCACTTAGTTACCTTTAAACGTTTAGAAAATATTTACAAAAATGTGTCATCAGGACTTCACTTTTAACGCCCTGTATCTCGGAAACGAAACGTTTTCGGACCTATGTTTATACGAACTTTTACAACTACGTTGTTAAAATATGACCGCCTAATTTTGGAACACCCTATATATGATTATGCCAAAAGATAAGGAAAATATTGAAATATTCTTTTTATTATAAATAATACAGGGGCGGAGCATAGGTATCGACCCTCGTATTCTTACCTGTATAACGTCCATCATGTTCTGAAAATCTTCTGTGGTATTTTTAATTTCGTTCACGGACTTGGTCACCTCCTTCAAATTCTCTATATCCGTTTTGATAATCTTCAAATCGTCGATAACGAAATTTAGCTTCTCCATCAGATTTTTCTGCGCGTCCGCGATGGCCCTGTTTTGCTCGGACACCAGCGAAAAACTCGCATCCCTAGAGGTCATTATCTGACGAATTTGGGCGTCCAATCTTTCGGGACTGGGACGGACTTCTTGTCGCGTTACATTGAATCTCAAAGGCGTCGAATGCGACGTATTTATGATGGCGTCCGGTTGTTTCGAAGTGTTTAAAGTTAAATTACTGGTGAAAGCGGATAGATAGTGCTCTCCGATGCTGGTGTCTATAGAACGGTTGTTCTCTTCGGACGAATCAGAGTTATTGAAATTTATTCCATCGGATTCTATACCGGAAAGCAGTCGTTCTACTTTTCCTATTTCGGTACTTAATTTCGAGTTCAAAGGATGGCTCAAATCGTAATTTGGTTCTCTAAGACGGTCTAACGTTAAGTACAAACAATCTCTGGCTTTGGTTAGCAGCATCTTGTATTCGTTGACGATGTCAGAAGAGATATTTTCTTTATTATCCCGCTTTTTCTGATCAGCGATGTGTTTGTATATCTCGTATTGGTAATAGCTAGCGAACGGGTCTTTCAATTTGTTAAATAGCGTCAAAGCCTTTTCGAAATCTTTCTTTTTGTACAATTGCGTTGCTAAAAACAGCTTGCCCTTATCTAAATGTGATTCAGCTTCGTTGACGGTCAGTTTACTCGATTTGTATTCAAACATTCTGTTATTCGAATACATGATGGCTTCCTTATTGATAACTTTTTCCAACAACGGTACGGCGGCTTTCCAATACAATTCCGCCCTAGCCAAAGTAAATTCAATCTCAGACTGTTGCGAGAGCTTCTTGGCACGTTCTTCGAAGATATTCGCAAGGATAACCAGTAGTTTAACGTCTAAACCGTGATGACCGATGCATCTGACGACTTCGATGCCTTTGATCAGCACTACTCTCAAATCGCTCGAATTGCTACTCTGATCGTTCTTGTACATTTTATAAGCGGATTCCAAAAATTTCGATTGGTTTATCGTAGCCAGATTTTCCGTTATGGAGGCGGGTATTTTTTTGCTATCTTTACGCTGTTGTGCCGACGTGCAAAGAGTTGCACAGCAAATAAAAGCGTAGATGTCTAAAAGATTCAATGATTCAGCTGCGCAGTTCGTTATATTCGTAGTGGAATATTGAAGGCCTTCGAATGTTTTAATGCTCATATCCGGAATGTTGGTGCTCGAAGCTATCCAGATGTAATGATGTAGAACATCCGGATGAATCAGCAAAGCGATTTCGTCAAATTTCGATACGTCTTCAGCATTGGGTAGTTTAATAATCGGTTCTATTGCCATACTATTCGTTACAAAAAAACTGGACGATAATTTCAACTGTTGTTCTCTTCTGATGAACAGTTTCTTGTACAGATTTTCCCTCCAGTTACCGGAAGAGTATTGAGCGGCTTTGTCTAACAACAAACTCTTTCTATCTTTTGCAGAGGTTAGAATAATATGTCCCATTTGGGAATTTCTATAACACGCTGTCTCATACCAGCGATTTATCAATCTTTTTATATTATCGGAGGACTGAATGAACCAATAGCTGTTCAGATCGGGAGGATTTGAATGGTAAGCCGTGAATAAAACTGGCAAAACGAAATTCGAAGCTTCTTTAAACTCGATATTGTCCCTTTTGGCTTGCTTATAAATCAGAGTGGCGTAATGGAAGTGCAATTGAGCGTGATAGTGCTTGAAGAATATCGAAATCAAATTTCTGTCTGCGATAAAGTTGTTAGAACTCTGATGCGCTTTGTATAGAATCTGATCGAAATTAAAAACAGACGTCACGTATTCCGTTGTAGTACATTTAATGGTATTGTGATACTCTTCCAAGCTCAATGCGACCAAACGCTCCAATACGGACACTGATAACAGCCAAAATTCCCAATTATTTACCGATGCGGCAGATTCCTTTTGGAATCGAAGTAATATGTCAGAGAAATTTTCGTACCAGCTCAAATTTTTGCTGAAAGCCGCGATGTGTTTGTCTTCGATGGCCGAGGCGTGCTTGTAGGCCTCTAACACCATGTTGTTCTGGATGAAGTGTTTGAGCAAACGTATTCGCAAATTGACATCGGACGGTCGAATTTCTAATTCTTGTAATAGAAGCTCTGTTATTTTCATTGGATTCTCGTTTTGTTTGGTTATCAATTTTTCTTTCAGTCCGTATACGGCGGGATTGTTCGGATCGAACGTTTGCGCCAGATCGCAAAAATATCTGGCTCCGGATAAGTCCAAATCGACGTTGTCAGACGACAGTAATTCACAAACTGAAACAATAATAAATCGAATGTGACCATTTCGAAAATAAAATTCTCTACTTGTTAACTGGGTAATGTTAACGCAGGCAACCGGTTTTGGCTCAAAAGCCATCATCAGGTCTAGAATAGAAGGGAAAATTATGGTTCTTATCAAAATTACATACATTATACAGGGTGATTCATAAGTACTTTGACAAACTTCAGGAAATGATTCTTTTAGTAATTTTAAGGTAAAAAGTTCATATAAACATGTGTCCGGAAATGGATGGTTTTCAAGATACAGGGTGTTAAAGTTTTAAGAAAAAAAAATCATTTTTTCTATCATATCTTTCATACCACTGAAGATAATTTAATGAAATTTGGTAGACGTTGTTTTACCATAAAGTGACATTTTTTGATGCTATTTAAAATTTCTTGAAATAAAATGTTGATATTTCTTGCATATTGCATATTTTATTTAAAAACTACTGATTTTGCACCTTCCGGATATTGATTTGCATTATTACCGACATTGTACAAATTTTTTTACGCGAAAACGGTGCCTCTTACGAACAAAAGTCAAGAGATCAAATTTGTTCCAAATTAAATGTAGATTTTAAAAATAATTTTTATTTTTAAAAAACCAGTGGCGTACCATTTTTTTCTTCAATAATATTTAGTTTAAATACCGTAGGGACGCCACTGATGAAAATAAAAAAAGTTAATAGCATCAGAAAATGTCATTTTATGGTAAAACAACGTGTACCAAATTTCATTAAATTATCTTCAGTGGTATGAAAGATATGAAAAAAAAAAAAGATTTTTTTTTCTTAAAACTTTAACACCCTGTATCTTGAAAACCATCCATTTCCGGACACATGTTTATATGAACTTTTTACCTTAAAATTACTCAAAGAATCATTTCCTGAAGTTTGTCAAAGTACTTATGAATCACCCTGTATATTTTTTCTTTGTAATTCTGATAAGAACCATGTTTTTTTTCCTTCTATTCTAGGCCTGATAATGGCTTTTGAGGCGAAACCGATTGCCTGTGTTAACATTACCCAGTTAACAAGTAGTTTTTAATTAAAAAATAAATTTGTGTGGTACTAATTTTGAGAATTTTATTTTCGTTCATGAAATAATAGTTTGTGAAAGAATAAATAAAAGACAAGCTGAACAATAGAGAGTTATTGTCACTTAAGGTGTCACTATTAGTGCCGCTCTTATTTTGTCATCTAAGCATGCGCAAGGCGAGTTCGGTCAGTCAGGGGCTGGAGCGGGACAAATTTTTAAATGACATTTAAGCGTGTTAAACTGTCACTAATCGGACTAAACCTAACGCTAAAAGGGTCGTTTGGAGTTAAAAGTGTTAAAGGAGTTAAAGGAACTTGGCAGACCGAACGCAATGGCAGATCGTTTATGTTCTAAACTGACTTACGCGACTTTATAGCTTTCGGGTGCGCTCGCCGACATTCGTATCCGTTCGAAGTTTTTTAATATTAAATAGTTAATATAATCGTCATCTAAACGTTAAATTATAATTTCTAATGCCTTTTCAATATTATGTACTATTATAGACAACAAAAAAGTTATGAAAATGAAGTTAGAAATAAGTATAAGGACAAGGATTCTAATGTCAAAATTTCAGGTTTGGAAATAGGTCTGATTTTAGCATGGAATTTATTTGACTCTAATTACGATGTCACTATGAGTGGCTGGCGTTATAGAAATGTGCAATATATTATTATTATTATTATTATTATTACAAACTAATTAGGGCTGAGGAATGAATCCTATTAAGCCCAAAATTACAAGTTCAATAACAAAGACAATTATTAAATAAGTAATTAGCAAATAACATAATGCAAACAAAGCACTAAAAATAAACTTTTAGTTTTCGTTAAAAAAGTCATCGAGTCGGTTTTTGAATACATTTACTGACTGTGCGCGAACAACACTCGAGGGTAAATTATTCCAAGTATAAAAAACTCTATTACAAAAAAAGTTTTCTCGGGTACGTGTTTTAAAATATTCTTTGCTCAACTTGTATTCATGTCCACGGAGGCGCTCAGCTGTATTCCGTGGGAGTATACTATAGAGGTTTGATGAAAAAGTACCATGAAGAATTCTGTATGTCACAATTAAATCTCCCCTTAATCTTCTGTGGGCAAATGAACACAAATTCGCCATGTTTGATCAGAAACCAAATCAGGACACCACGCAGGTCCGACATATTCCATCAACGGTCTAACGTAAGTTGTATAAAGTTTAGAAAATGTTTGAAAGTTCACACGCGTAAAGGACTTTTTTAATAGGTAGATCATTGAGTTCGAACGTTTACATACCGCTGATATGTGTTCTGACCACGTTAATGAAGAGTTTACAATGAGTCCCAGGTCGTTATAGGAGTTCACAGTTGCTAACGCACTACCGTTTAAATAATAGTTCACGCACGGCTTATTTTTTCCTATATGCAGGACGACACATTTTTCCGCGTTTAAAGGAAGCAGCCACGTGTCACACCAGTTTGAAATAGTTTCAAGGTCTTTTTGTAGCTGGGTATAATCTGTCACAGGATTACAGTATAGCTTAGTGTCATCAGCGTAACACGAAATATTAGAATTTAAGTCTTTGCCTAGATCTGCAGCGTATACCAGGAATAGTAATGGCCCTATGACAGAGCCTTGAGGGACACCACTTAGAACTGGATACTCTGACGAGAACATCTGTCCAACTTTTACCTTGAAGATGCGATTTGACAAAAAATCACTTATCCAGAGAAGTAAAGAGCCGCGAATGCCAGCTTTTTCCAATTTAAAAAGCAATCTCTTTTTGGGAACACGATCAAAGGCTTTAGCGAAATCAAGATATACGACATCGACAGGCTCTTTATTGTCCACAGACGTAGTCCAATCGTTTAAACAGGTCATTAGGTTTGTTAATGTGGATCGGCCTTTAATAAAACCGTGTTGTTCTTTTGGCAAGACGTCATAGCTCTTAAAAAAATCAGACATATAATTGGTTAAGATGGATTCCATTATTTAACAAGCGATTGGGACGAGGCTTATTGGACGATAGTTGGATGGACTGAGTTTGTCACCCTTTTTAAAAATAGGTGTCACCGAAGCAATTTTCCACATTGAAGGAAGTGTGTGAGATGTAAAAGAAGATGTCATAATAATGGATAGAGGTAAAGCCAAATATGATGCGCATTCTTTTAAAAGCATTGCGGATAAATTGTCTATTCCAGGTGAGGAATTTGATTTGATTTTTTTGAGATTTTCATTAACAATTGCAGATGAGAACTCGACATTACATAAAGAAGTTGCTGTTCGGGCATCGTGACTAACTGGAATGTCGCCTGTGGGTTCTAAGGAAAATACTTGTGAAAAATGGTTGGCCAGAGCTTCAGCTGTTTCTTGATCATTATTACATAAGTTTCCATCCGTTTTTTTAAGAAGTGGTACTGATACTTTAGAAGATAGAGAGCATCTTATGTGTTTAAATAGCTTCTTAGGGTTATCGCTACTAGCGATATATTCTGCGTATTCTCTTCTTGCGTTATCAATAATATTGATTAAATCGTTTGCGAAACGTCGATGGTTAACAAAATCATCATGTCTTTTGGTAGCTTTAAATTTTTTCCACATATTTTTCTTATGTTTAATTAAAGTTAAAAGTTGTCCATTGATCCAGGGTTTTAATTTGTTCTGAGGACATTTTTTGTTTTTTTGTGTTAGCCTTTACAATTTCAGATATCTTTGTATGAAATAGTGTCCACATATCTTCTACTAATACAGTACTTCTAAAAAAAGTGATCCCAATCAATTTCGGAGAGGACTCTCTTTACGTTATTAAAGTTTGTGACACTATAGGTTACGTCCCTATCGGAATTAGGGGTTTCTATGTTAAATTGCATGTTAAATATAATAACGCCATGGTCAGATTTCCCAATAGGTGAGTGGACAGATGGAGAAATTAGAAGTTGGTCGTCATTTGTTAATATAAGGTCCAGAGTTGAAGGTTCTTGATTTAAGCGAAAGCGGGTAGGTTCGTTTATAAGTTGTTCAAGATTTGAGTCTACAATAAAATTTATGAAGTGTGAAACAGAGTTTTGCGATACTTCAAGACCTGCAGTAAGGGGCCAGGAAATTTCTGGATAGTTGAAATCCCCAACCACCACAAGATTGTCATGGGAAATAGATAGATTTGAAAGAACCTCAAAAAGCTGTTGGTCGTTTTCTAGAGAAGTTTTCTTTGGAGGACGATATAAACATATCAGAGTGGTTGAGAAAGATTTGTATGATAGTTTTAACGAAATTAAATCTATATTGGGAATGTTGATATCTAAGGCGGTGACAGAGTAGGTTGAAGTGATGAATGACGCTAAGTAGATGCAGACCCCTCCACCAACATTATTTGCACGGTCGCTTCTGTAAATTGTAAAACCGGGAATGTTAATAGGTGAATCGGGAATAGACAACTTGAGCCAAGTTTCAGAAATTAGAATAATGCTGGGAGAAAAATGTTGCACTGAGCACAAAAAACTATTAAATTTAGCAGTTAGAGAATCCAGGTTAGTATACATAAGGGTCCAATCGTTAAATTGTGGAGGTTGTCGGCTAGCGGGATTGAAAGGGATTTATCTTCACAATTTTTGGAATCCCGTTATGATATTAAATTGTTAGGTCATTTTCGCCATTCCGTTTTTTAGCTTCTAATTCATCTCTTAAGTTTTGAAGAATCTGTTGTTCGGTAGGGGTTTTGTCGTCGATAATGGTAATGTTCTTCAATGTTGCTATTTCTAAGACTTTCTTTTTGTTTCGTAGAACGTTTTTGGCGGCGTGTTCGGAGGGCATAATTACTTTGAGCCATCGTGGATAGCGACTATTTCTAATACTTTCGCAGTTCTCCCGCTTCATACACAGGATTTGACAATTTTACCGCTTACCAAAGTGAACACGATATATGGGCGTAGGAAATTATTTTATAGATGCTTACATGATACACAAATACCGGTATGGTACTAATTCGACCGAATTTCGCAATTTTCGCGCATAACGTAACGTTTAAATAAGAAATATTTTTTAATTTATTTATTTATGTAGCACTTGCAGAATGTAAAATTCCAAATAGTACAGTATATCTAACCTAACACAAACAATTGTAAAGTTAAAAACAATATAAAATAAATTAAAATATATATAAAATATTAAAAAAACGAAGAATAACATAACCCCGTGGGACGATACGAGTAAACCTTAAGACATTCAGGAGTTGCAAGTCCCTTTTCAGCGCCAAAATATTATAATTAAATATATCACAGTCAAAGTTAAATTTGTTATAGTTCTTGCATATGCGATCAATAAATGCACTTTGTCCGTAATTAGTTCTGTCTTTTTACATTCAAAAGTGATGTGTGCCGAGTCTGTCGGGCAGGAACCAATAGTTGAACTCTCTTAAGCAGTGACCCGCGATATAACCACCTATTAATTTAGCCAGGAATAGGAGTAAAGCCAGTTTTCTTCTGCATTCCAAGCTCTGCATGGCGAAAAGCATTAATCTTATTTGATAACATGTGTTATGGCTATGAAATCGGTGTTTAAAGAGCAGGTATTTTACGAATTTACGTTACACCCTTTCAATTATATTGATATGGCAGGTGTAAGTAGGTTGTCAAATAACAGAACAGTATTCCAGGACACTTCTCACCAAGCCATTATAAAGTGTCATGATTGCTTTTGTGTCATTCACGTACCTAGTATGTCTCTTGATGAAGCCAAGGATTCTGAGGGCTTTGCATACTATGGAATCTATATGGTTGTTAAAAGATATTGAGGTATCAAAAATAAGGCCCAGATCAATAACTGTCGAGGATTTATCTAGGTTGACCCTGTTAATACTGTAACAGTTAAGAGTAGTAGGAATGTGATATCTTGTAAAATGCATGGTTAAGCACTTAGAAATATTTATAGAAAGAGCGTTATTTTTACACCGGTAGCAAACCTGTTTAGGTCAGACAGTAATGCGGAGTTATTACCATTGTTTCTACAGAAAAAACTTTAAATCATTCGCGAAAAGAAGGCATTAGCTATTAAGAAAGCAGGACGTAACATCATTAAAGAATAAGGAACATATATGTGAACCTTGAGGAACACCGGATAAGACTGAAACGTCACATGATACGGAATTATGTACTACGACACTTTGACACCAATTACTCAAATAAGATTTAATCCAGTAAAAATAAGAACCAGAGATACCGATTTCGGAGAGTTTCTTGAATAGCAATTCATGACAGATACTGTCAAAAGCTTTTGACAGATTGGTGTAGATGGTGTCAACCTGGTAACCATTTTCAATTGATGAAATTAAGAAGTCTTGATAGAAGCCAAGTTGTTGAGGTGAGATATAATTTTTATACGTGTAAAACATTTCATGTTAGTATGGATTCAAATAGTTTTGGAATTATTGACATAATGGAAATACCTCAATAATTCTTTATATCGCTTTTATCACCTTTCTTGTAAACTGGCATAAGGTGGGAAAACTTCCAAGCAGATGGAAATATTCCACTATCAAATGATTTTTGGAAAATTTGGCTAAGTGGGATTGACAAGGAGTCACAGCACCCCTTCAAGAACGACGGTGGTATCCCATCAGGGCCCGCAATTTTACTAGAGTCAAGACTTTTTATTTTAGAAGATACTTCACAAGGAGTGAAAGTGTGTATGGCTAAAGTTGAATAAAATGGCACATACGATACTGATAGCGACAAAGAATATATACCAGAAAACGATATTAAGTCAAAATTTGTTAAAAAATTAAAACATAACCTACAAAATAGGAAGAAATTAAATTACTCATCAGATTCCAGTAGTTCAGCCGATAATAATGAACTTATTTTGAACCAACCCAGCACTTCAGGCCTTTGCCAACAAGCGAGACGACAAGCACAACAAAAAGTCAGAAGTGTACACAATCTGCAAACCGTTGAAAACTTTGTGAGGTCCACTGATAGTGAAGTATCTAGCAGCAACGAAGCTTCTGAGGCAAACGAGTTAGAAACTGGTAAACTTCCACCTCAGAGTGGCAAAAAGAGGAAAAACCGTGTGAAGCTATGGCAGAGAAATATTAGAAAAGCTGCCAGAACTTCGGGCTCAACCTACAAAAACCCGAAAGGCACTGTCGTTCTGCAAGAGAAATGGGACCAAACTGTAACTGCAAAAACCGATGTTTTGAAAATGTTGGCGAAGAATGCTGCAAGAGGATATTTTCTGATTTTTATTCGATTTCCATTAAAGATCTTCAAGATTCTTACCTTTATGGATTGATAAAAAGGTGTGACGTTTCGCGCCAGAGACCACGATCAGGAGAAGGAAAAACAAAAGCCTCAACCTTCTCTTACAAGGTACCTGCAAGAAATACACCAACCATTCTAATGTTTTTCTTTATTAAATACTCAATATTCTTGTTTCTTTCAGGTTCGTGCACTTGGTAAAGAACACAAAATTTGTCAAAAAGCGTTTCTATCAATACATAAGATCACAAAAAGTAGGCTCGAGAGATTGCAGAAATATTTAGCCAATGGAAATGTCACAGCTCCGACTGATCACAGGGGAAAACATGCAAACAGGCCAAACAAAATACCTGATGATATTGTCGCTCAAGTTCGAGAACATATTCTAAGTTTCCCAAGGTACAGATCGCACTATAGTAGAAAAGACAACTTGCATCATTACTATCTGTCACCTATATTAAATGTCTCTAAAATACGAACCTCGTCAATACGTGTTAGCTCAAAAAAATGAGACAAATAACCCTACTGTAAAGTACGAGTTTTTTAGAAAATATTTTGCAGATAATTTTAAGATAAGTTTTGGCAGGCCAAAATCGGATACTTGTCAAAAATGCGACAAGTTAATAAATAACATTTCCACAGGAGATTCTGAAGCTGAGAGATTGGCATTGGAACAACAAAAATCTATTCATCTCAGAAAGTCCGAAACTTTTTATTCATATTTGAAGACCTTTACACAAATCTCTAATGATGATCCAACAAAGGAGGGTTTAACGTTCGACTACCAGCAAAATATAATAATAATAATAATAATAATAATAATAAGCTTTATTGTCTAACAGGTAGTCCCATTTACAAGACAATACAATTAACATATAATTAAAGTATCTATATAAATTATAAATAAAGTAAACAATGTTGTTTCAATACAATTAAAACAATGATTGAAAAAATGATTTATAAAACAATGAAATTGAAACAATGATTAAAACAATGATTGATGAGTACAATTAATAAATTTGGGTAAGGTCATACCAAATATATCAATATCATAATTGAAACTGGCAAGATTATTATATGTTTCACACATGTTGTAGATTGGTGATTTTAACATAAGATTGGTATTACTTTGGTTGAGATAAAATAATGTTCTTAATCTAGTGTTCTTGTTCGGAATACGCCAGCATATTTTATTTAATATTTCCGAGCAGTCATTCTATTATTTAGCAACTTATACAAAAATATTAACATTAAATAAGATCTTCTCTCTAATAGCTTTGGTAAATCAAATTTACTCAATAACTGCGAGTTATTGTATCCACGGGGAGGATAAAGCCCATCATTTTTTAACATAAGATATTTTGCAAATTTCCGTTGTATATTTTCGAGTTGCTGGATTTGAACTGCATAAAAAGGATTCCAAATTATCGAACAATATTCCAGTTTTAATCTAACGTAGCTGTAATACAATAGTTTGATGATATCAATATTTTTGAAATTTTTGCAAGAACGGTAAATAAAGCCTAACATTTTTGACGCCCCAGCAGATATATCAGCAATATGTTTGTTGAATGAAAATTTTGAATCAAAATTGACCCCTAGATCTTTGAAATTAACAAGACGGTTGGTACTAATGTTTTGTATTTTGTAATCAAACAATATTGGAGTATTTTTTAGAGTATATGTAACCATATTACATTTGCTTATGTTTAGAGGCAATCTATTGTTGTTACACCAATGATTTAGAGAATCAATGTCAGATTGCAGTTGATAACAGTCATCAATTGAGTTAATTATCCTATATATTTTTAAATCATCAGCAAATAGGAGAGAATTACTAGAGATACATTGCGTAATATCATTAATAAAGATAGAGAATAAAAGTGGTGCAAGATTGCTTCCCTGAGGAGCTCCACTAGTTGATTTAAAAGAATATGATTTGTATCCATTAATTTCTACATTCTGATATCTATCACTCAGATATGAAAAGATAAGTGTAACTAAGTTATGATCGAATCCAAAATTTTTGAGTTTATGCACCAACGGTGTGTGTGGTCGAGTCGATCAAAGGCCTTTGAGAAGTCTGTCTAAATCGTATCAACCTGTTTGTGATTGTCTAAAGACTCGGTAAATTGTGTAAAACATGTAAGGTTGGTAACATTTCTTCTAGTCGCAAAAAACCCATGTTGTGAAGGGTTTATTAAACTTTTTACTTGTGAAAACAGTTTTTCATACACAGCCATCTCAAAGACCTTTAAAACCCCTGAAACTTGACATACTGGCCTGTAATTTTCAACCAAGTTCATGTTACCTTTTTTAAATATAGGTGTAACTTATGATAATTTCCATTTGTCTGGATACGAGCAAGATTTGATTGATAGATTAAATAAGTAAAGTAAAGGCTTTAAAAGTATTTCCGAGCAGTCTTTTATGAGAAAATTAGGTATTTGATCTGGTCCCTGGTTCAATCGAGGCTTAAGTTTTTTTTAAAGATGTTTTTATGTCATTTTCAGATAAATGTTTGATATGTATAAGAAAGTTATTAGTGTCTTCTGATTGTAAGAACTTGGAATCTGATGGTAGGGTATATACTGATTGGAAGAAATTTGCAAATTGATTGACTATTTCATGAGGGTCATTTATTATTTTATTATTTATTAAAAGGATATTGATTGAATTAAACCCATTCCGCTTGGATTTTATGAATGACCAAAATTGCTTTGGCTCTTCTTTAATTTTTTCTTCCGTTATCATAATATATTTTTCATAAGCCGTTTTTATTTGAGTTTTAATTATTTTCCGTAGATTACAGAATTCCTCCCTTAGAGTATCGTTATTTTTATTTTTTTTTTTTATTTTTTAGATATTCGAGATTTTTTTTTAATATTTTTAATTATTTCTGATGAATACCAGGCTGGAAATTGTCGCTTGCGATGAATTTATACAGTAACATATTTATTTATTGCTAGATATAGAATATCAAATTTATTACAAGCTTCATTGACAGACTGATACTCATTCAGAGCAGACCAGTCGGTATATTGAAGTTCACGATACAGACCAATAAAGTTAGCTTTTTTGAAATTAAATTTTTTATTCATATTGTTAAAGGAAGTAATAGTTCGATGGCTGTTATCAATAATGATTTATATACTAAGGGGAGGGTGGTGCGGATCAATGGGTACGAATGGTAGTTCATTTTCTATAACATTACAGTCAATATTAGATAATACAAAGTCTAATATATGATTATTTAGATTACGAGTTTTATGTTGTGTTAGTTCGAATAAGTTACTAAATAAGTTAAACGTACTTACAGTATTATTTAGGAGATTTAATCGACCTTCGCCACTATAGATTTGAGGTATGTTAAAATCACCAACTATAAGCACTTTATTACCGTGTAAGTAATTTAGGAACTCAAAATTTTCGAAGAACATTTCATAATCAGATACTGAGGTATTTGGTGGAATATACACAACAAAAACATAAAGAATTATATAATCAACCTTCACTTTGCACCCTACAATGTCAATTTTGGGTACACTTGTATAGAAATTAATGAGATCCAGTTCAATGACACTGAAAGATTTATGAATGCCCAATAATACTCCTCCTCTTGAACAAGAAGATGCGGCTAGGTTTCTATCGCGACGAAACACTACATAATTCTCGTCGAATAGTTCCGAATTTATTACACCATCTTGAAGCCAAGTTTCGGTTATTGCCACTAAATTATAGTCTGAAGTAATTGTTGAAAATAAAAACTCAGATATTTTAGAATTTAGTCCTCTAACATTCTGATAATATAGTTGCAAGTCTCTGTTATTATTGGGCCTGTTAGACATTAGATATGAAAATTTGTATTGTTTTGATTAGAATTAGTAGCTTGAGTTGAGATGCTGTTGAGATCATTATCGGAGGTAATTTGTAAAATTTTGGAGTCATTTGGATTCTTGGCGAAGATTTTCCCATTCTTAGTCCAACAACTAGTTTTTACTGTCTTGCAAACGTCCCTTGTTTTGCTAAAAAGTTGAGTGGTTGGAGGCGTTAGATGTTCATTGATGTAAATATTCATTCATTGTTAGTAAATCCTATTTCATTTGCTTTTAATATTTTCTTGGTTTTAAATGCCTTAAAGACCATATGCCTTACCTGTCTCTTCCAGATGAGATGTTTTCTACAAAATACAACTTTGGCTTTTTAATTTTTGTGTACACGTTGGAAGTACTAAGAAAAGCTACTTTTATGTTTATGACGAGACAGTGGGCGGAAAAGGACAGAATGAAGTAGCAAGTCTTCTGTTACACTTTGTTAATACTTATTTGAGTCCTGAGGTAACTGATTTATATATTTTTTCCGATAACTGCTCATCTCAGAACAAAAACTACATGCTGCTTCAGTTTTTTTATACCTTGGTTGATACCGGCAGATTTACAAAAATTCACCACAGATATACCGAACTGGGTCATAGTTTCCTGCCGTGTGATCGTATTTTTGGATTGATAGAGCTACAAAAAAAGAAACACGACAAAATTGATTTGCCTCGTGACTACATAAACATCATTCAGGGTTCCAGCATAAATTTTTTGGTCAAACAGATAACTCAAGACATGTTACTGAACTTTAAAGATCACTCGAAATCATCCTTTGTGTTAAATCCTTCAAAGAAAAATAATAAATTTACCATATCAAAATACAGAATAATTCATTACGAAAAACAAGATGCAACAACGACTATGGACTGTAGTGAAACTGTTGGAACGCCATCTTTTTGCAAATTTGACATCAAAAACAAAAAAGTCTTAGATGCCCCATCGTTTCCAACTAATGATCAATATTTGTACCCAAGAAGAAGAAAATTAAAACTAAAGAAATTTCAGCACGTGATGAGCTTAGCTAAAGATTACGTACCACAATGCGACATTTTGGTTCTACCAGGAGATAGAGAATATTCACCAAACTTTCCAGGAAGAGAATCATGTGACATCAGTGTCGGAATTTAGCAGCGATGAGTCGATTGTGTTCTAACGAATTTAGTGAAAATAATATAAAACCAGTTGTAAAAATATTTTTGTGTGTTACTTTTATCTCAAAATGCCGTTTTTTTCCTTTATTGGATTTAAATACTTACATATTTTTTTTTGACGTTTCCTTCACAAAACATCTATCAATTTTTTTCCCATACTTTTTAAAAAAATTAAACTTTTAAACCAAAAACTATAAAGAACGTTCTTTCAAATCCACCCTAACATTGTGTATGCAACGAAAAAAGCAATCAAGTCGAATTTTGTGAATGAGCAGTTTTTTCTATTTTCTCAACATTTTAACTTTCTGGTCTTGCCCGGTTATTGCATT